TACCGTAATTTCCGGACTATAAGCCGCGACTTTTGTCACACGCTTTCAACTCTGCGGCTTATTTCATGAAGCGGCTTATATAAAGACTTTTCTAACGGCTGCCTGTGTACCGTCTTTCTTTGTAAATAGCTCATGTTACAATATGGGCACCTGCGGCTTATACACAGGTGCGGCTTATGTGTGTAGAAAATATTTTTTTCCTTTAAAAATGTAGTGGTGCAGCTTATAGTCAGGTGCGGTCTATAGTCCAGAAATTACGGTACTTTGAGGGTTGGGCGAACTTGTGATGTGAAAGCAAAGAGACGATTTCACTCCTTCCATACCCCGCACAAATGCAATGCAATGCATTACCTGAAGTTGCAATGTTGAGTTGTGCAGCCTTGATGATGCTGTCACCGTGGACCCTGTCAAGTCCCGCTCGTAGCCGCTAAGCTTCTCATTGAGTAAAGAGATGGTTGCTTTTGCTTCAACGAGCAACTGAAAAGGTGAACAACGGCAGGGTAGTTAACGCTTCAGCGTCAATGAACTCAGAAGAAACTTGGCAGTGTTGATAAATACATTGCTGAATGATGAAGGAAACCCGTGGTCAATTAACTACTGTGTCAATCACAGTTGTTCATTCGACTTTGAAAACAACTGTGCACTTTGTCCATATTTTGCTGCAGTGGAGAAATGCAGCAACATGTTGAAACAAAACAAGGACAAAGACATACGGAACAGTTGGAACATGTGCAACATTTGCCTTACCCTTGTTAAATTTAAATGTGAGGTATTTTGGAGTTCAGGGGTCACTCCTTAAGACCTTCTATGACTCTGTGGTGACCTCAGTCATTCATTATGGTACAGTCTGCTGGTCAGGCAGCATCTCAGCCCAGGACAGAGAGAGACTGGACCGACTGGTTAGGAGGGCCAGCTCTGTCCTGGGCTGCTCCCAGGACAGAGCTGGAAGGAGGTGGGCAACAGGAAGATGCTAGCCAAGCTAAAAGCTATGATTGACAGACCCTCCCAGGCCCTCCAG